TGCTCGGCTCTCACAGCTGCGAAGAGTACCATAGCCTGCTCTGTACGTTGAGTCTGGCCGTCATTAACTTGGTTCTCTGCGTGTAATTAAAAGTTTATCTTTTATTCAAAGTCCAAAATATTATGTTTATAAAATAGACTCAATAAAGTTAAAATAGACTAGTAATCAAAATATAAAAGCTAATCTTTTTCTAAATCTAATATATTCTTTTTGACTTTGTTCTATTGTTATATTGCAGTTAAATAAATTTTATCAAATACCTATTTTATTATATGATAATAATTGTCATAAAATATAATATTACTGTGATTATATAAATTTAATTATATACAAAATGGTTACCTATTCTGTTCATATTAATAACAATAGTGTTATTCATCTGCTATTTGGATGAACAGTTGAATAATATCTTTATTCACTTCTTATTTCACATAGTATTCATTATAAAGTTCAAAGCAAAAAGTAAGTAAATGATTCAGTGAAACAAAGTCTTGTAATAATTGAGCATATAGAAGGTTCAGCTGATTATATTAGCTAGGAGACTGTGAAAGGTCAGCATAAATTTACAAACCATTTTAATAATATCTTACAATTAACTAAAATAAAAAAAACTAAGTTCAACAAATAAGTATGAAAAAAGAAAAAGACCTTCAAGTTTGATGATAGATTTGGCTTTGCTTTGGTGAAGGTAGTTGTCTAAGCCTCTGTAGTAGGATTGGCTCATGAATTAAAACATGTAATTATTATACTAAATACAATCTTAAGAATCCTCTTGATATGCATAAATATAGTATATAAATAACTACTGATATTATACTATCTGAAGTAGATACAGATCTATCAATATACATGATTATTAGTAACAATCATGTTTTGCAAAATATTATTCATGAAAAAGTCTCATTACCTCAAATTAATCTGAGTTAAAAAGCATAAGATTTGGCAATTTTAAATTATCAAGCTAACAGAAGTACAACTAAAAAATTAAAATAAAGCTTCTTGCATTTTATAATAGAGCTTTACAAAATGAACTACAAAAGTTATATAACAATCAAAGCTTTATATATAATAATATTAAACTTTGGCAACTTCTTGAGAGAGATGACTTATGTTTAAGAAAAAAAATAAAATCATAGTCAGTAGTGCACAAGTTAGTAACTGATGCATTAAAAGAAAAAAGTGTTATTTTATATTAGCAACTAAACATTAATACAGATAAAAACAGTTCAGAATGGTATTATCAATTTACTATAAGTAATGACTTGTGGCTTTAGCAAGCATGTGATTTTGAATTATTCTGCTTTGAAGTTGATAAAAAATATGATTTGAATAGTGATGATGCACCAGTATTATCACTTGTTATTGAAGATAATGCAGGTTATAAAACTCCAATTGTATTTAGTATATCAAATAAAGAAACAATCATACAATTAGGCTTGCTGTAAAAGCAATTAAATGAAATATTCCATGTAATAGTACTAATTGCATACATGAGTATCAGTATATAGAGCTAGCAAATAGAAAAGAATTTATAAGAATTTGTTATTGTACACAAGAGTGGCACTCATATGCAATAATTAATAAATACAGACCAACAAAATGAAAGCTTCAACCTATTCTCTGTGAGTTAATTTTATGTTGGTTTCATATTATGCAAACACTTGGGAAGCATCTTAAATATTTATGAATTTCTAATCATTATCAATATCTAATCACTATTGTATTTAAGGTTGTAAATAGAAGCAGAAGTAAAGAGATAGCTATAGAACTTGATTATGCTTATAAGTTATTTATTAGAACTCTATCACTTTCAAAAATTACCAAAGAACACTTGTGCAATGATATGTTTGCTAATTTATTATTTAAAGAATAGATTGATTGTTTTATTGATGATGGTCAGTTGCCTTCTATAAATAATTACCTGGGTGTAAAACCTATGACTACAAATAATCTTATGGAACAAATGAACAAATCAATTAAAGGTTAACATATAGGTACTTAGCCAATCAATAACTTCATTGAAAGATTATATTGGATTAAATTAGTATGAAATAATATCATTCAGAAGACCTCTTTACAATTTATATTTAAAGCTAATCAAGTAATATATTGAAATGCATAAATTATAGAACATTAAACATTACTATTTAAACAATCTGCAGATATAAAAGAATGTTTAAATCAGAAATAACTATGTGTTTTACTTTATTTAATAAAACTCATAGTTAATAAAAATGACTTATATTTTTATATAAAAAAAAGGAAATAATAAGTTTTACTTTTCATATACAATGAAAAATATTAATTTCGATAATGAAGCATATAAATTACTTTAGCTATTATTAAATAAACTTGTATTTAAACACCCAGTTATACAATTGAATAATTTCTATATTGTTAATATTTCTACAGAAGAGTGCATATGTTTGATTTTATGTGAAAAGGGTCTTTCTGTGATGTATGCAAGCATGTATATGCAGCACACTTATTTAATGATATAGAAAATGGCAAGACTACTCTATATGTGAAAAAATATGATCTTGTATAATATTTTTACAAAAAGGATCATGCAGCACCAGCCAAACAAAAAACCTTTTAATTTACAGCAGCTTAAATGAAACTGCATTTGAGAAAATTCTTTAAATTTTCTTAATATAAGATAATGATATATTTTTTTTATATAAGTACAGTCTTCCTCCTCTATAATCACCTTCTATACAATCACAACTTCTATATAATCACACTAATTTTTAATACAATTT